ACGTCTCGAGTGATGTGTGCGATTGAGGAGAAAGCAGAGGAAGTGTCTGGTGAGTAGTGCATTGCTAAGAATAGGCCTGTGATAATTTGTAGAATTAGGCAGGTTGCAAGAAGTGAGCCGAAATTTCATCACACGGAGATGTTGGATGGTGTAGGTAGGTCAATGAGGGAGTGGTTGATTATTTTTATGATTGGGTTAGATTTGCGTATTGGAATCATTTGGTGCTTTTATAGTTGAAATACAACGATGGTTTTTCATATCATTGGTTATGGTTAAAGTCCATATGGAAGCAATGACATATATTTTATTTACATTAAGCGTATTGTTGGTTATGGGGTTTGTGGGTTTTTCTTCTAAGCCCTCTCCCATTTATGGGGGTTTAGCATTGATTGTTAGTGGTGTAATTGGTTGTGTAATTATTTTAAATTATGGGGGGGCCTACATGGGTTTAATGATATTTTAAATTTATTTGGGGGGTATAATAGTTGTTTTTGGCTATACTGCGGCGATGGCTATTGAAGAGTATCCTGAGACATGAGGCTCAGGGTTTGAGGTTCTAGGGGGTCTTTTGGTGGGATTAATAATGGAAGTAGTACTAATTTTATGGGTTTTAAGTTTTGATGGAGTAGTGGTGGTGGTTAATTTTAACAATATGGGTAGTTGGGCGATTTTTGAGGGGGAAGGATCAGGGTTAGTTCGAGGCGATTCTATTGGTGCGGGTGCCTTGTATGATTATGGGCATTAATTAGTGGTGGTTGCTGGTTGAACATTGTTTGTTGGTGTATATATTGTGATTGAGATTACTCGAAGTAATAGGCTATATTATTAGAAGTAGAGTTAGGGTAAGGGGAATGAGGAAAGAGAGGAAGTAGAGTTTGATTATGCCTTTCTGGGTAGTTACAGTTATGGAGGCAGTAATATGTGTTTGTGAGATTATTTTGGGTATAGATTTCTCTAGTCATGTTGAATCTAATAGGAGAAGGGCTAAATTTTGACTTATAAGTAGGTTTTGATAGGGAACTATACGATGGACTGTGGTGGGAAAGTATCCTAGTATATTGGAGAATTTGAATATTTGTGATGGATTTTTTACTTTTAGTTTGTTGGTTATAAGGGCGAGGTCTAGGGCTGTTAGGAAGCCGAGGGCGGTTGCGCATAAGGCTGAGAATTTTAGATAGGAGGGTATTGTTGGTTGGGGAAGTGAGGTAGCGGGGGATATTGTTGGTGATAAGGAATCCTGCAATTATACTGCCTATTATGAGGCGTTTAATTGGGTTTAGTAGGGCGGGGTTGTTTTCGTTGATGCTTATTAGGGTTGGGAAGCGGGGTTGTCCTGTTAGGGTAAGGAGAATGGTTCGAGTACTGTAGGTGCTTGTTAGGGAGGTGGCGATGAGAGTAATAGATAGGGCTCAGGCGTTGGTATATGACGTATTTGTGGCTTCGATAATGAGGTCTTTGGAATAGAAGCCTGTGAGGAAGGGTATTCCCGTGAGTGCTAGGTTGCCAGTAACTAGGGAAGTTGAGGTGAGGGGCATTGTTTTAAATAGACCACCTATTTTTCGGATGTCTTGTTCGTTATTTAAGTTATGGATAATAGATCCGGAGCACATAAAGAGTATAGCTTTGAAGAAGGCATGGGTGCAGATGTGTAGGAATGCTAAGTGTGGTTGGTTAATACCAATGGTGACTATTATTAGACCTAGTTGACTTGAGGTAGAGAAGGCCACGATTTTTTTTATATCATTTTGTGTGAGGGCGCAGATGGCTATGAATAGGGTAGTGATGGCTCCTAGACATAGTAAGAGGTTTTGGATTGATTAGTGTGTTGCTTTCTATTAAAGGGTGAAAGCGAATAAGTAGGAATACTCCGGCAACAACTATGGTGCTGGAGTGAAGTAGGGCTGAGACCGGGGTTGGACCTTCTATGGCAGAGGGTAATCAGGGGTGAAGACCAAATTGAGCTGATTTTCCTGTTGCTGCTAGGAGAAGGCCTACTAGTGGAAGGAGATTTGAGTTGGAGTTTAGAGCCAGTATTTGTTGAAAGTCTCACGAGTTATAATGCAGGAGGAATCATGTTATAGCCAGGATAAGACCAATGTCGCTGATGCGGTTATATAGGATTGCTTGGATGGCTGCTGTGTTGGCGTCTGCTCGAGCGTACCATCAGCTGATTAGAAGGAAGGATATGATTCCTACACCCTCTCAACCAATGAAGAGTTGGAAAAGGTTGTTGGCAGTGACTAGAATTAGTATGGCAGTGAGAAAAATGAGGAGATATTTGAAGAATTGATTGATGTTTGGGTCTGAGTTTATGTATCATAGTGAGAATTCTGTAATAGATCAGGTGATGAATAGTGCGATTGGAATAAATATTATAGGAAAGTAGTCTAGTTTAAAGCTTAGTGTTAGATCTAATGTTTGGGTTGTTATTCAGTGTCAGCTTCAAATGGTTGTTTCTTGATTTGAGAAAATGTATAGGGTTATTGGAAGAAGGCTAGTAATAAAGGCATATATTATAGTTATCTTTACATAGTTTGGGTATGAGCGTTTTTTGTCAGGATTAATGAGGGTGGCAAAAATGGGAAGAGTTAGGGAGGCAAGGGTTGTTATTATGATAGAGGTGCACATAATTATTACTTTTATTTGGAGTTGCACCAATGTTTTTGGCTCCTAAGGCCAATGGATAGCTGTTATCCTTTAAAAGTTGAGAAAGCCGTGGTTTTAAGTACGGGGGCATGGGTTAGCAGTCCTTGCAAGTTTTCTCGGTAAATAAGAAGTAGTAAGCTTCTATAGTTAGGTCCACAATCTAATGTTTTGATTAAACTATATTTACAAGGAGTAAGTCCTAGAATGGTGTTGGGATTAAGGGTTAGAAGAATGACTGGGGCAAGGTGTATAACTATTAATGTGTTTTCTTGTGTGAAGGGGGGTTTTATGTTGATTATATGGTGTGTAAGTGTCCCTCGTTGCATTGTGACGAACATGTGGAGAGAGTAGAGGGCTGTAATTAGTATATTGAGTCCTGTAAGTATGATAGTAATATGAGATCAAGAAAATGAAGCTGCGATTACAAAGAGCTCACCGAGTAGGTTAATGGTAGGGGGAATGGCAAGATTAGCAAGGTTTGCTGTGAACCATCAAAAGGTTATTAATGGGAGTAGGACTTGAAGTCCTCGGGATAGTAACATGATGCGGCTGTGGGTGCGTTCGTAGTTTGAGTTAGCTAGGCAGAAATATATGGAGGAGGTGAGTCCATGGGCAACTATAAGGATAATCGCACCAGAGAAGCTTCAGGGGGTTTGGATGAGGGAGGCTACGATTACTAGGGCTATATGGCTTACGGAGGAGTATGCGATCAGTGATTTCAGGTCTGTTTGTCGAAGACAGATTGAGCTTGTTATGATTATACCTCATAGAGATAATATAAGGAATGGATAGGCTATGTACTCTGTTAAAGGGTTAAGGATAGAAGTGAGTCGTATTATGCCATAGCCACCTAGTTTTAGGAGTACTGCGGCAAGGACTATTGATCCTGCAATGGGGGCTTCGACATGAGCTTTAGGAAGTCATAAGTGTAGGCCGTGTAGGGGTATTTTTGTCATAAAGGCTATTATGCATGCTAGTCAAGTAAGGTTGTGAGATCAAGTGGTTGCTAGTTTTTGGTCTGTAAGTGTTAGTAGTGTGATATTCAATGAGCCTGTGTTATTATAGGTGTAGATTAGTATAATGAGTAGGGGTAGAGAGCCGGTTAGAGTGTAAAATAAAAAGTGTATGCTTGCGTTGAGACGTTCTGCTTGGTTACCTCATTTAGTGATGATAATTAGGGTGGGAATGAGGGTAGTTTCATATTCCAATCCCATTTCAACCACTGATGCGGTCATGGATGGGCAAGTTACTTAACAGCAGTCTCCTCACCTATAGATGGATGAAGGGGGACAAAACACACATGGAGAGATTTTCCATGTGCGAACACATGAACATGACACATCATAGCATGACCTGATAAATATGGTACCAGTATTGGCTGCAGTTCAAACACTGTTGTGTTTCTCTTAAGAGTACTGCAGTTGCCTCCCACCAGTCAAAAGTCTTTCTTCCAAATTCACTACCTTCAAAACTAGACTCTGCTGCTGTGATTCTATAATATCTGATTATGTCAGTGTCTTGCTTAAAATGATTCGGTGATGCTTCATAATCATGAAGACAAAATCTAAAACTCGTTGAGAGCCTGCAATTCTTTCAGTCTATCCCTGCCTCCTACAGCCTCTTCTCTCCCAGCCCTATCATGCTCCTTAACTCAACAGTACAGAACAGCCTCCCAGCCCCTCTCTCAGGCTCTCATGGCTTTCCCTGAGCTGCTCATTTGATCAGGATGATCCAACCCCTCTTCTCCACATAACTAGCTTAATTTCATCCTTCACACCTCAGCTCAGGCTGAGCTCATCATCTTCCCTCTAAATCTGTCTCTAATCTCCTCCTCTCTCCACTCCTGACATCAGCCTCTTTTCCATGCCCCGGGGCACTCCTCAGATACCTCCATCAGAACAGTAATTAGACTAATGTAATTAGCTGACCACATGTCCATCAACCGGAGGAGACTGTATGCTTCCTAAGGCCAGCTGTTTCATCTTTCATTTTGCTTTATACCCAGCTCAACACAGAGTTGGGCATATAGTAGCCACTCCGTAATTACTGTGTTAAAAAAAAATGGTGTCAGGGGTTGGCATCAGGGCTAACATTAGTTCAGCCATTACATCCTTACCTTTTAATCAATCAGATAATTTATATCACTATAAATGTATATTTTTTCTAACCATAAATATAATTTAAAATCAATATCTTAGGCCAGACACAGTGGCTCACACCTGTAATCCCAGCACTTTGGGAGGCTGAGGCGGGTGGATCACCTGAGGTAAGGAGTTTGAGATCAGCCTAGCCAACATGGAGAAACCCTGTTTCTACTAAAAATACAAAAATTAGCCAGGCATGGTGGCACTCACCTGTAATCCCAGCTACTTGGGAGGCTGAGGTAGGAGAATTGCTTGAACCCAGGAGGTAGAGGTTGCAGTGAGTTGAGATCGCACCACTGCACTGTAGCCTGGGTGACAGAGTGAGAATCTGTCACAAAAAATAAAACAAAATAAAATCAATATCTTGTGTTTTAAATATTGGAGCGTCCTCTTTCTAGAGTCCGGGAAGTTAAATTGCAGAGTATAACATTTCTTTCAAAGCTGAGTCCTCTGCTGTAGAACAACACCAAAAACTGTTACTCATCACTGTCCGATTGCCCAGTTCAGGACCTGAGAGCAGAGTCTGAGAAAAATTGAACTACATGCTGCTTTACCCATGGTTGGTTTCAAATGGACAGCAGCAAATGTGTCTCTGTGTTTTTCCCTGCAGAGGATATATTCCCTTGCAAGTCCTGTGGCATCTGGTATCGGAGTGAGCGGAATCTGCAGGCCCATTTGATGTACTACTGCAGTGGGAGGCAAAGAGAAGCTGCTCCAGTGTCAGAGGAAAATGAAGACAGTGCCCATCAGATTTCCAGCCTGTGCCCCTTCCCACAGTGCACCAAGAGCTTTTCAAATGCTCGAGCTCTAGAAATGCACCTGAATTCACACAGTGGTAAATGCTGCTTTTGTTTCTTCTGTTGCTCCAGAAGACTATTATTTTTATAAATATATATGCATTACATGTATACATCTATATCTATCTATCTGTAGCTATCTATAATACATCTATATCTATCTATCTGTAGCTATCTATAACATCAAAATCAAACTTTCTGGGTCAACCAGTGCGATCTTATGCCACTTATACTCAGCATATTTTACTCAAAAGATTTGGGTCTTAATTCTTTTCTGACAAATTCAGTGCTCTGACCACAGACCAAATCATTCTATTTGTTTTCGACTGAGGTTTTAAAAAAGCACATTGTTTTCAAAAGAAAGTCTCAATACCCTTTGAATATTGTCATTTATTGCTTTAGTGTCAAGCAATCTTTGGAAACTGACCATAGTGTTTCCTGTATGGTAGGGAAGAAATAATAGGTACATAAATATAAGTATTTGCTGAATTGAAATAAAGCTACTCTATTGATAGATCCAATTAAAATTACAATTCAGGGATGTTTACTTTTAAATATGGATCAGCAAAATATTCTTGACTTCCGAAAGATGCGTCATAACAGCTTAGCTGGTTTTTATGACATAAAACTACTTTTAGTACTATGTTTTAAAATCCCTTAAGAAAAAATAGGCTGAAAAACAAATAAGGTTTTTAAGGCCCTCTCTTAATAGCAAGGTGGCAACTATTCCCATTTAATTTGGAATTGTATGCCAGCTATTTTTGGTTTCATTTCATAGCATTCTAATTAACATATTTTTTTAAAAAATGAATTTAATTGAATGTACAGAATTCTATTGACTTTAAATAATTTTAGGTACATTCTTGCATGGGACAAACTAGGGACTGAGAATCATAGTTTTTCAGCACCTGTGATACAAACCTTGTAGGATACCTCTGGGTGACTTTCTTAGCTGTCTTTGCCTAGATTAAATGATTTTAACATGGAAATTACATGTTGAGTTTTAAGCTACTGTTCTAACCTCCAGTGCTGTAGTACCGGTCAAGCTTTTGTCTTTGAACCTATAAAAGTAGGCAATTTCCTTTCTGCTCATCCTCTTTCCTCTTCTTGCAAATGAGCTATCTTCATATAGATAATAAAGCAGGGGAAGCAGAAACAGATTGGTTGTCTCAGATGGTGAGTAAAGTCATATACAAAACAAAAAGAGCAGAATATAGGGGTCCTTTCAGCTAAATGGAAAAAAATGAGTATTGGATTCATTGAGGAAAAAAGGAGACAAGGATAGTTAGACCCCTTTTATGACTACAGGACTAGGTACCTCTGCCATGTTTTCAGCTTATGAATGTAAAAGGAGGTCTTATTTTAGTCCAGAGTACAGAGGGGATAAGCCAAGCTGATTTTACCATATGCTGACCAATGGGAGCTAGAGTAAACCTTAGTGATGCTCAGCCACCACAGTCAATGATAATATTCAAAATATGTAATCATGGACTAGAAATAGGCAGCGATCAATCAGCATGGATGTCAATGCGAAATGACTATATTAGTATACTGGTAGACTATATTAGTCTACCAGGTAAATATCAGCCCTGGATAGAGATAAACTATGTTCAGCAAAATTGTGGCATAAAATTTTAAATTTATATTAAATATAAATTAGGATGTTATTAATTACTTTACAAAATCGTTTCTATTTGGCTTCTTTAGAATATAACCTATATGTAGTGTACTGAGAGTTATTTGATTTGCATTGGTTTTCAACAGCAATCCTAATGAATGCTCACTTCTTCCTAATGTAGAGGCTAATGTTCTAGTAGGAAGGTTATTGGATCAGTAATTATAAAATCTGAGGCTCAGGCATGGCTTCATCACTTAATAGCTTTATTAACATAATCAATTCCCTTAGCCTCCTTCAGCGTTTCCTCATCTGTAAAATGGAGACAGTGACACTTACTCCACTTAGATGCCGTAATATTCATGAAAGTAGTTTGAAAACTATAAAGTGCTATTATTATTATCACACACTGTAAGAGATGTCACAAGAAAACAGTTAATATAATGAATGAGATTCTGAACGATTTCATTCCTATTGTGTTGCAAACATTAGGTCATTAGAAAAGGTCCCTAGCATTCAAAGACCAACACACATGTTTCTCATTGTTCTTATTTTGTATGTCTCCCTAGGAGTGAAAATGGAAGAATTTCTGCCCCCTGGTGCTAGTCTAAAATGCACCGTCTGTAGCTACACTGCTGATTCTGTGATCAACTTTCACCAACACCTGTTCTCCCATCTCACTCAAGCTGCCTTCCGATGTAATCACTGCCATTTCGGCTTCCAGACTCAGAGGGACTTATTGCAGCACCAGGAGCTCCATGTCCCTAGCGGCAAACTTCCCAGAGAAAGTGACATGGAACACTCTCCAAGTGGAACCGAAGACAGCTTACAGCCAGCCACAGACTTACTGACCAGAAGCGAACTTCCCCAGAGCCAAAAGGCCATGCAGACTAAAGATGCGAGCTCTGACACAGAGCTGGACAAGTGTGAGAAAAAGACTCAGCTCTTTCTCACAAACCAGAGACCAGAGATACAGCCTACAACAAATAAACAAAGCTTTTCTTACACAAAAATAAAGTCTGAGCCCTCTAGCCCAAGACTTGCCTCATCTCCAGTTCAGCCTAATATTGGGCCTTCTTTCCCTGTGGGCCCTTTCCTATCTCAGTTTTCTTTCCCCCAAGATATCACCATGGTCCCTCAAGCGTCAGAGATCTTAGCCAAGATGTCTGAACTGGTGCATCGGCGACTGAGGCATGGCAGTAGTAGCTACCCTCCTGTCATCTACAGCCCCTTGATGCCCAAGGGGGCTACTTGTTTTGAGTGTAACATAACATTCAATAATTTGGATAATTATCTAGTGCACAAAAAGCATTATTGCAGCAGCCGATGGCAGCAGATGGCTAAGTCCCCAGAGTTCCCTAGTGTGTCAGAAAAGATGCCTGAAGCTTTGAGTCCCAACACCGGCCAAACCTCCATAAACCTTCTCAACCCAGCTGCTCATTCTGCTGATCCAGAGAATCCGCTTCTTCAAACATCTTGCATCAATTCTTCCACTGTCTTAGATTTAATTGGGCCAAATGGGAAGGGCCATGACAAGGACTTTTCCACTCAAACTAAGAAGCTCTCCACCTCCATTAACAATGATGACAAAATTAATGGAAAACCTGTTGATGTGAAAAATCCCAGTGTCCCCTTAGTGGATGGGGAAAGTGACCCAAATAAGACTACCTGTGAAGCTTGCAACATTACCTTCAGCCGGCACGAAACATACATGGTCCACAAACAGTATTACTGTGCTACTCGCCACGACCCTCCACTAAAGAGGTCTGCTTCCAACAAAGTGCCTGCCATGCAGAGAACCATGCGCACACGCAAGCGCAGAAAGATGTATGAGATGTGCCTACCTGAGCAGGAACAAAGGCCTCCACTGGTTCAGCAGAGATTTCTTGACGTAGCCAACCTCAGTAATCCTTGTACCTCCACTCAAGAACCCACAGAAGGGCTAGGAGAGTGCTACCACCCAAGATGTGATATCTTTCCAGGAATTGTCTCTAAGCACTTGGAAACTTCCCTGACGATCAACAAATGTGTTCCAGTTTCCAAATGTGACACTACTCATTCCAGTGTTTCCTGCCTAGAGATGGACGTGCCCATAGATCTCAGCAAAAAGTGTTTATCTCAGTCTGAGCGGACGACCACGTCTCCCAAAAGGCTGCTGGACTATCACGAGTGCACTGTGTGCAAGATCAGTTTCAATAAGGTAGAAAACTATCTGGCCCACAAGCAGAATTTCTGCCCAGTTACTGCACATCAGCGTAATGACCTGGGTCAACTGGACGGCAAAGTGTTTCCAAATCCAGAAAGCGAACGAAACAGCCCTGATGTTAGCTACGAAAGAAGCATAATAAAATGTGAGAAAAACGGGAATTTGAAGCAGCCTTCCCCCAATGGAAACCTATTTTCATCCCACCTCGCAACCCTGCAAGGCTTGAAGGTCTTTAGTGAAGCCGCTCAGCTCATTGCTACAAAAGAAGAAAACAGACATTTGTTTCTTCCACAATGCCTTTACCCTGGAGCAATAAAGAAAGCAAAAGGAGCCGACCAGCTTTCTCCATATTATGGAATCAAGCCAAGTGATTATATTTCTGGTTCTCTTGTCATCCATAACACTGACATCGAGCAAAGCACAAATGCAGAAAATGAATCTCCTAAAGGCCAGGCTTCCTCAAATGGGTGCGCTGTGCTGAAGAAAGATTCTCTACCATTGTTGCCCAAAAATCGAGGAATGGTAATAGTGAACGGTGGACTGAAACAAGATGAGAGACCTGCTGCCAACTCACAGCAAGAGAACATTTCCCAGAATCCTCAGCATGAAGACGACCACAAATCTCCCTCATGGATCTCTGAGAACCCATTAGCTGCCAATGAGAATGTCTCACCAGGAATTCCCTCAGCAGAGGAACAGTTGTCTAGTATAGCAAAAGGTGTGAATGGTTCCACCCAGGCTCCAACCAGTGGGAAATATTGCCGGCTGTGTGATATCCAGTTCAACAACCTTTCAAACTTTATAACTCACAAGAAGTTTTATTGCTCATCACATGCAGCGGAACATGTCAAATGAACTAACTGAATAAACATCAGTCACCTCTGGTATCAGTGTTTAGTATGTTGTTCTAACCAGTCCAGAAAAAAAAAAAAATAGCTATTTGAATTACATCTGGGCAATCAGGAGATAATTCATTATGGCTGAGTTGAAGACTTGAGGTGTAATTTCATTACAGTCCATTAGTAAAGTGTATTATTGGTGCCATTTTCAAAAAAAAATTAATTTATTTTACCAGCAGTATTCATAGCTGTGGTTATGTTATTTTTTATTTAAAAACTTTATATTAAAGTCATTTGTAATGTTATTGTATAGTTATTGTGTAGCACATATGGTTTGCACTGTATAGTAGCTTTTAAAGAAAATAGTCACAAACAATACAGAAAATCATTTTAGAAATAGCTTCAAAAGCACTTGTGTATCTTGATTTTTTCTTATATGCTGTTGCAGATATATGTATATGCTAAAATATAACTTGCAAAGATGTTCTAAATACACATGCTATAAGTTCGCCTTAAGATTTCAATTCTTGGATAATCAGGCTCCGTTTGCACTTTATATTTTAGCAGATACAGTCTCTTAGTCACTAGGCTTTGCATTTGTATGTAGCTGTATGTTTCTGTCCATTTTCTTAATCCTAAACCTGTATGTTAAATGAAGATGGCAATTTTTTTCTTGTATAGTACTTGGATTTTCTTTCGCTGATGCAGCTCTGTCTCAATTTTTAAACCTTTGCTGTTAAATGCAATACTTTATAAAGAATGAACAAAATTACTGGAAGCAGTATTGTAAGTAATGAGGTAGTATTAATCAGTTTTATCTTTTGAAAGGCACAGTCTAAATCGAAACCCTAAACTCAATGCTGCAAGTATGAATTTAATTCATATATAAGATCTATTTAAATATAAGAGTAGCAATACTGCACCTGGTGATCGCAAAGATAATGTTCTACTTCTGATAGAAATAATTTCTCAACAAATGTTGTTACTATGCATGTATATGGATGGAATAAAATTCCAGATTGTTGGAGGAGTTTGGCGTACTTTTTTTCCCTTTAAAATAGAAGAGAAACCCTAAATCTATTCCTTGTGATGAGAATAGTTTCAAAATGGCACTGAATAGCTGTATTAACACAATGACAAATCAGTAAAGAGAAAGATTGTCCTTTACATACACCTAATTAATATAACTTACTCTATTAAAATGAACTAGAGGCTCCAGGCCATGAAACTAGAAAAGTTTTTCATTATAACTATGTATAATTAGCAGAATCTCTCTGTCTGCCTTTCCACATCATCACTACAGCACAGATAAAGAGCAGTTTCATGTGTGTCTACAAAACTTACAAGTCATATGCACAAGAATCAACACAAATGTTGGTCAAATGCACCCAAGATTCAGATGAAGTTTACCAGAGAGAGGTTTGCATTTTGAGAAGCGGTGATGTGGTATGGTAAAGTGACTCTGATGAGTAAAGATGTGCAGATCTCATGCTTGGGATTTGTACATTTGTATAATCCAGGAGTTTGCATATTGAGGGGGAGCGGAGAGCAGAGAATGTGGGCCCAGTGGGCCAGCCAGAGACATTGAGAGTGACTCGGCAGACATGATGGTCTCCCGCAAAATTAGGAATCTCCTGACTTGGAAAGGCAACTACCCACTTGAGGCTAAGACACACTCTTTACAGATAGGTTGTGATGCACTATGATTCATCCATATTGAATCTGGTAACATAACGAACATAAATGTTGGCCTTAAGCATAACATGCAAATACTGTAACATAAAAAAAAAAAATGCTATGTTGTCAAAAACGTTTCTCCAGTTGCTCGTTGAGAATAACTATTTTCAGACTGGAAATCATGGGCTTAACTGATGCTTTCCATTTCAGTCAATGATTAAACAGTGAGGTGAACAGAACTAAGGTGCTTAATAGTGTGTAACAGGAATCTCTCAAATTATCAGATCCTTGGGGATCAATGGAGATGTTCAGAAAGACCTATGTGGTGCACAGGTTGGAACTGGTAGGGCTGAGTATTCTTAAGAGGGCTTTCTTCCCCAATCTCTTTTTCATCTTCTTTCCTCTTCAAAAAGAAAGAAAGAAAAAAAATAACCAAATCAACATACATTTATTGATTACGTGGCTTGTATCCACTATTTAGGGGATGAAGGCAAAGAAATATAACACATGACTCTTTTCTCAAAGAGCTTATAATTTGATTCAATTTAGTGCTTCTCAACACTTATCTCACTAGAATTGCCTAAGGAATATTTAAAAATGCCAATTATGTATATATTTTTGTACACTGGGCCTTACCCTAGATCAATTCGAGAAACACTCAAGCCTGTGAGCTCTGAGAATCTATATCTTGTAAAACCTGTCCAGGTGGTTCTAATATGCAAACAGTGTTGGGAAATACTGAAAGGTAAATTAGAAGAAAACATAAGTGAGACTAAGTATAGTAAAAGAACCAAAGGATAAAAGGAAACCAATATGAGATGAAAGAGTTGGGGCAGGCTGCACAAATAGCGTAGGTTCTGGAGAGGTGGATACCGTGGTAAGGAAGGCTACCTTTAGGCCACCCTGAGATATTTGTACGGTGTATCCACAGGGTGTTTATTTCAAGTATTGTTTGTATAGTTGAAAGTAAGTTCTAATAGCTGTTCACACAAAGAAGAACATAGTGTAGGTTGAAGTAGTGACATTTGGATCAGAACTAGACCGTGGAGAGTGTAGAGGAAGAAAATGGTATTTCTACATGTGGCAATCACTGTATGTTACAGTACAAAAGTGGAATGCAACTGGCATGTGAGGATGAAAAGTGAGTAAAACATTTTTCAAAAGGAGAGTTTAGGTTGGAAAGAAAAGGAAGCTGAAGTGGGAGGATTGCTCAAGCCCAGGAGTTGGAGACTGCAGTCCCTTATGATCACGCCTGTGAATAGTCACTGTACTCATGCCTGGACAATGTAGCAATACCCAATCTCTAAAAAATAAAAAATAAATGTAAAAAAAAAAAAAGTATAAATAGGGATCTGGTATCACCATGCCAGACCTTGAGTGGCAGACTAAGTTTTATGGACTAAGGTTTATGGACTTGCCTTATACTTTGCCTCTTAAATAGGGTCAAAAATGAAAACTATGTTTAGGAATGGTAATAGAGTAAGTATGAGGTCTAGATGCTACACAGAGGAAGTTTATTTAGAAGGCCATAGTGATGTTTTCAAATGAGGGGGCAGGAAATGAGAGCCTCTACCAGGTGAATGGAGAAGCACAAGCGTGGGTACAAGAGTTAATGTGGGTACAATGAATTAATGAGTAACCATCAAGACTTGGTACAAGTTAGTGAAGATGAAATCAAACAAGAAGCCAAATATCTTCAACCCACACTGATTAAGAAAATGACCCATGTTCAATAAACATTGAAGTCAGAATATTATCGGTTGAGTAATCTAGTTGAAGAGTAGTAAAAAGAACCATGGTTTATATCAGTTCTTCAGATTGTGGTATTTCAATCGTCTACAGAATTCTAAAGCCTACTAAATGAGAACAGCTTAGTTTTCAAGTTTTTTGTTTGTTTGTTTGTTTGTTTTTTGACAAAGCAATCTTAGGGTATTCTGTGTTGTTTTCTCTTGGCCACAATGAAGAACCTTTGAATTAAACAGAGAGAGTGGGAAGCTGTGTGCGAAATTAGTTAAGCTGGCAGCAGATTTTAGTATATAATTGGTCTTTCAAGTGCTTATTTCTAATACGTAACACATTTCAGTGTTTAAAACTACTATAATTTAAAATAATTCAACATATATGTTTTAATATTGAAATTGAAATGGAAAATCAAGTTGTTATGGAATCTGTGAGCACTATTTGAAAACTTTATAGCCAGTAAGAATGCTCTTATTTTCAGGCAAAACTAAGGTTTAGAGATTTTAAGTGCTCAAAGTTATAAAGCTAATAATTGAGAATCAGATACCTGGGTTTGGCCCTCCGATTACCTGCTAACATCATGTTCTTTCCTTCATTAAAACAGAAGGCAAAGACTAAGGCATGTGATGGTATCAATGTTATCCAAATGTCTTGGTCTCCAATCTATGTTTTGAAAGAAAGGCAACATTTCCCTTCAAATGCGTAAATTTCAATGACTTAAGCCTCCACCAGCTTGTATGCCAGAATATGGACTAATAAGCTATTGAGATTTTCCCAGTGTGGCGACCCTTTTGAGACTGCTCTTGGATGGGCTGAGGGGGTCACCGCCACCTTCTCCAGGTAAGGACCACTGCTTTCACACTCGGGTTTCAAGGGAAGAGACACTGCTCTCCCCTTACCACATAATCACCAGCATCAGATATGCCTCACTCTTAATAACACAGTCCATCAGTGTTTCCTTAAAGTTCAGGAAAGATAGAAGAGAAAAGCAATGTACAGAATACCCCTCAAGTACTCCAGTGACCCACATCTAACCCCCAGCTTTCTTGCAGCATGACCACCTGAACTCTCTGCACCATAAGTGGATCCACACCTCTTGTGTTAAGGTGTCCTAAACAATTTCACAGTAGGACCCAAAGAGAAGCAGGTTTTCGCTCATCCTAGTCACAGGTTCACCTCTGGAATACTCACTTCCTGCCTTAATGCTGACCCCTTTAAAGTTCCCCCTTCTTATCCTTCTAGCCACACCACATTAGATTCCACAAGTCATCACGACAATCAGGTCAAGGGCTGCATATCTTAAAAACAGAGGCATCAGTAGTCAGTCTGATACATTTACACAGTGAATTCACTGCCTTTGAGGCCTCTTCTCATTTTCTTTGAGAAAGTGCTTAAAGAAGAAAACATATAAAATAGGTCAATGAGAAAAAATTGAAAGTACAGGCAAAGGGTAATTTAAATCCATACTTAGAAAGGAAACATTTCTCTAATGAAAACTGTAAAAACAAAGCAAAAACAAAAAGAAGAACTATTCATTTCATAAGCAAATTTTTTCTATTAATTTATAGAACGGTTGAGGTTCTTGAAGTTGCCATATCTCAAATATTTTCATTCAGAAACATGTCTATTTGTTCCTGTCACCCGGTAAGGTTAATAAATATAAACTGACTGAAAATAGTGGTTTTCCCATAACTAAAGATGGTCGTTCCCCACAACAAATTGTCTTTATTATTAAAGGCCAATATTCCCTATAGTTCTTTTAAAAGATGTTTTTTTCCCAGTTTCTAATTATCAAGGATTCAAATGATCTTAACTTGGGTCACCTTGTCACATAATAAGGGAAATATACAAGTAGGAAATATTTTTAGTTTCACAGATGCAAGAATAAGTAGCAATCTCCAAAGTATTTCAGTTTTTAGCTTCAACATTATTCTCTAACACCAAACCTTTATAAGATTCATTTTGAAAAGTATCAATATTAAATTATTGACATTTAAGACTAAGAAATTGGCCAGGCTTGGTGGCTCAAGCCTGTAATCCCAGTACTTTGGGAGGCCAAGGAGGGTGGATCACCCAAGGTCAGAAGTTCAAGACCAGCCTGGCCAACATGGTGAAACCCCGTCTCCACTAAAAATACAAAAATTAGCCAGGTGTGGTGACACACAACTGTAATCCCAGCTACTCAGGAGGCTGTGGCAGTAAAATCACTTGAACCTGAGAGGCGGAGATTGCAGTGAGCCCAAATTACGCCACTGCACCCCAACCTAGGTGACAGAGCAAGACTCAGTTAAAAAAAAAAAAAAAAGACGAAGAAATTATTTTATACCCACTTGTGCATAGAGCTGAGTTTAGTAATTTTCAGTGGGTTTGAAACACTCCAACTTCTAATTTCATGAGCTAATATAAGCCATTTCTGTATACTACTCCTGCTAGATTACGGTAAAATAGTAAACAAAGGACTGGATATCAAAGAGTGAAATAAGTCACAAATTTAGTAACTAGTACTTGGTACAGATCCATTATGATGACCCTTAATAAGGGTTTCTGAATGGATTTATGAATGACTAATGGAGAGAGAAAACAACTGGTATATGAATATATGAGTGAATAA